GCTTCGGCCGGACACGGCATCAACAGTATTGTGAGGGGCGTAACATTTCCGTCTCGCGCTTGAGGTATTCGGCCAATCACAACACATTGGATAGCTGGCCAGTCAGAGCACACCTCGCTTTTTCAGATCGATGAGCTTTGTAAAAATCGACGCGTTTCAAAAAGGCGGGGCATAGAGGAGAAACAATAATGTACAGTATGTGGAAAATAATGTGTTTTTTGAACTTTAAACCGCATAAACACATTTCATTACACCAAATACACAAAATAATGTTCTTTTTAGCAGCATCATATGACCCCTTTAACTCATTTAAAAATCTCCATAGGGTTCTATAGGCCCCTCTAGTGGCTGTAACCATAAAATGCAATTTTACGTAATTTTTCCCCACCAGATGGCATCAGAGACACTCAGTGACTCAATTCCAAGGCCATCTGTTGGTTTTTGATGAAACAGGACTGATGACAGGTCTTTCTTTGTTTTTTGTTTTTGGTGAAATAATGTACAAAAACTGCCTATTTGCTTATGTTTTCTTAAAAATATCCAGAATAAAAGGTAAATATGATAAAAAAATCACCCAAAAATAATAGAAAAACCTACATAATAATTTTTTTTTATTAAATGTTCCAATATAAGCTTTCTGGACCAAAGCCGGCCTCAGCACACGCTAAGCCGGGGCTTCCCCTCACGCTAGGCGGCTGTGTTTTTCGTTGCCACTGATGATTCATACGCGAGTTTTGGGCAGTAGAGTAGCACTTGTTGTTTGTCATTTCTCCGATCACAAATGCAGACAGAGTTTTATGTTTACGCGGTGCGATGCAATGCAACGCAACGCGTAAAAAGACAGTATAAGTCATTATAATCAGTAATTATGTCCCCACTGGATGCAACAAACTCCTCGTTTGTAATGGGTTTTAATGTGTATGTCTAAATAATGTACAAAAACTGCTTATTTGCTTGTTTTCTTAAAAATATCCAGAATAAAAGGTAAATATGATAAAAAAATCACCCAAAAATAATAGAAAAACCTACATAATAATTTTTTTTTATTAAATGTTCCAATATAAGCTTTCTGGACCAAAAATAAAATTAGTGTCATTTTTGGCCTTCGGGTCATTTTGACCCATGAGGGACACTTTTGTTATAGGTTCGGGAGGGACGGATGAGGGTTAACTATACAAGTGAGCCAAAATCCCAGCGTTTTCAGAGATGGAGTTTAATCGAGTCAGTCTGAGACACTAAAAACACGACTTGCTCACATGTAAAGGAATCGCTTCACTCTGAAACACACAGAATATATATTTATTTAATTAAACCTTTGTAATTTGATAATCACACTAAGCAGTATCACAATTTTGGTTTTATTTCGATGCAGCCCTATTCCTATTGAAACTCCTTTTGTTTCAGACCTAAAGTAGCTACAATGAGCCTAATAAATTAGCAAGGCCATCTCTTCCTCAACATTATCCTGTTTCTCTGTGAATATGGACCATAGTTAACCTATCTAAATGTGAAAAGCTTTTCCCCTCAAGCACTATTCTGAAACGACCCGTTACAAATGATCAATAAACCATTGAATTTGCTAGTGCATGAAGACTCACAGTGAGAAGCATCATTAGAGGACTTGTTAAAATACAACACTGCCATCTGAATTCTCCATTAAGAGTTACTCAGAAATCATGGTTTGGACTTTTCAAGTAAAACACAAACAATAATGCAGCGATTTCTCCATTTAATTCCATTTAATTGTCACTAAGTAAAGAAATTACCATCTCAAGAGAAAATACCAAGTTGCTTCATGCTTGCAGGAAAAGCCGGTCACTTTTTTTGGACAATAGCTATGCAATAAGTCTTCTAAAGCGAGTTGCTTTGAATAGTCAGGAAAATGAATGCTCACAAGCAAAAGAGGGCCTTTTTTTTTTTTTTTTTTAGTAAGACAAGCACAAAAGAATGCACAATGTGGCACATTCAACACCCAACTCTTCATCGAAGTGGAAATATGTTTCCACAGTTTTGAATGGAATTGCTGAAGGGACTTACTAATCAAAGCTGAGACGCTGTTCAGTTTTGGATCATATGGGCACTTTCCCTTCCCAGAATCCTCCTTGCCGGGCTCCAGATGGAAGATATATTCCTGAAAGGAAAATTGAAAGCAAAGATTAGATCTCTTTGTCTTACGATCAATTCTACAGAAATGCTTTGCATAGGTCCTCAAATCCCTATAAAACATGACATGGATTTAGTCAACAGCGTTAGGCGTGTGATGACAAAGACTATGGTGCACAGTTGGTAAGAGAAAAGCAATAGCGCAAAATAGGGTATATGTCGAACATCACCTGACCAAACCCGAAGATAATCAGTTAAACTAGCTACTTGTTTTTATTGTTGACGTTTTATTCAATTTTTATATCTAAATGTGAAAAGAATAAAAATAAAAAACTTTTAGATATCAGTCCGCATATGTGATGGACATTGGTTATGATAATCTTTGGTATCTACTTTGAAGGCATCTTGAGTAAAACGGCTTCATATTTAACTAAGCATATGCAAAACGCTTGAACCGGAAGCGACGAGACCCGGTTAACAGAATACGGAAGTCTGTTGCACATAACCCCTATTAACTAATCTCAAAGATAGATCCCAGAATACAATGTGTAGATAAAAAGTTTCTCTATCCAAACTTCTCTGCTTGTACATAGCCTCCATGCTCCTGCTAACACCCGTCTAATCCTGCATTGTGAGCGTGGCGAAATGGCTTACTGACACCAACCCGTCCCAGAATCCCTCAGGCATGATGTAGAAACACTGACTGACAGGTATTTGGATGTGCGATTTAGGAACTGCCACGAGCATGTGCTGACATGCCCTGAAGACTCGCCATGAACCAGATCCATAGCTTTCTAACCCGAGATTTTCCTCTACAGTCACAGAAGGAGACGGAGGAGTGCAAGACATTTCTAATCTTATCGATCAACATTAATTTAAAGGAGAGCGGAACGGCTGTCAAAATATTCAGAGTTGTCCAGCATTAACAGATTTTCATTTCACCCATTATTAAATCCAACAGAAACAAACAGATCCTGCAGGGTTGCTTTAAATGAGAAATTGCAAATTTGCTATAGATACCCTATTTTCTTCTGTTTGACAGATGTGATATGGGGCATTGAATGGAAATTATAGTGTACTGCAAAAATTGCTAAATTTTGTGAGAATTACCTGAATAATCATTAAAAAAAGTTTTCAAATGCCTCATTTCATTTATGTGTTTGCCATCAATTTATGCCACTATGTTATTATTATTATCATTATAATAAAAAATAAATGTATTACATACATTTAATTAATAAATATTATTTTTAAATCATTTTATTAATAAGGTAATGGATTAGATTTGTCTCTTTTTTTACCATTCACAATTATATTTAATAAATGAATTTACAAATTAAATACCTTAAATCACTTTATTGATGAGTTGAGTTTTTTAATTAACTAACTTATTTATAATGACAATTATTAAAAATATAAAAATAAATGATATAATAATAATAATAATAATAATAATAATAATAATAATATATTATATAAAAATACAACAAAAAAAATCTAATGTAATTAAAAAAAAAAAAAAGCAATTAAATCTACATTGTAACTTTATCTAGCAATAAATTTTAATATAAATAAAATACATTTACACTGGGTTTAAGTGATGCCAATAAACCATATTTTCTAAATTTAATTTAAATTTTCTCTTGATGTGAAGTGTTAGTGTTAGTGCTTTAGGAGCAATGGTTTAGGAGCAATGGTTTAGTCAACAAAAGTGTAGTTTAAGGTTTGAGTCTTTACATTGTGATGCTCAAACTTACAGTATCCCCATAAAGATTGTACTAGGAGTGAGCTCAGGTCACAAAAAGGTTAAGCACTTCTTCCTGTGATGTGAAAAGTAGGCCGGCTGAAGTATTTGAGTAATGTTTAGCTGTGTAGGTCTATTATTTCCTCTGCTTCTTTGTGTTTGGTAGAGCCGCCTTGTGTTTGCTCTGTATCAACTGTCTGAAAGTCTGTGTGCGTGTTTAGCATTCACTCCTTTGAGGGCAGTGATCAAACTAAAACAGAGAAGGTTATGTATTGCAAGTTAGTTATTTATAAAGAAATTGCAATAGTACAAGAAAAAAACACTTTCAGATTATGTAATGTTCCATTGAAAAATATCTTGCAAATTAACAATTAACTTCAGAAGTTAGGTTTGCAGGTTGAACTACAAAGAGAGAAACACTCAACAAGCTAAGACACTACAGAAGAACAAAACTTCAATCAGCCGACAGAGATTAACCATGAAGACATATTCTACAGTTAAAAGAAAGCAAAGACTTTAATGCACAAAAAACAAGACATGAGACACAAAACAAAGCTTTAAAAGAAAACAGGTTAGAAATACAAGACAAAGAGTTAACAAAAAAAACCTCCAGACATCAGACACAGATGAGGCGGAACAAGAAAGACAGAGGAACGAAAAGCATGTAGGTTAATGCATCTTTAGACTGAAGGAGAGTCATCAGGCTCGCGGCAGACATCCAGATCTGCGTCCCACCTGTAGTCCTGTCTCATCAAACACTGTTTCAGGTTCAGTTGCACGACTAGATCTTCCTCTGGTCTGGGGCATCTGGAGATGCATGGCAGTCTAAAACAGAACATAGTCACATGACTTAAGATGTTACTCACTTACCAAGCATGGTTGCCCGCTTCAAAAAGAAAAAGAGGACATAAGTTCATCTAGGCACTGAGGTGACCTTTAACACTCAGAGAAACAATATTCATTACATGTTTGTGTATCTATGAATGCTTTTGCAAGTGAAAAATCAGCTCTGTTCCAAAACGTAATAAGTTGTGATTTTGCCAAAAATAAAAATAAATGCATATTAATAATAATAAATTAAATAAATAAAAAATAAAATAAGGCATCACTGCAAGTATCCGTTACAGTAAAGGCAATCCCAGAATGCATTGCACAGTTGCACAGCGTTTTTTACAGCGTTTTTTTGTATGATGATAAAAAAAAAGTAAAAAATAAATACATTTTATATTATATAAGTGTAATATTTTTTAGATAACACACACACACACACACACACCTCATTTCACATGTGTGCAATCAATTCATGCCATTTTTTGTACTTTTACAATTTTTTATTAGATATTATTCTTTTACTTTTTTTTATCATTATTTTTATTCATTTATAATTATTATTATTTTATTAATATGACAATTGCTAAGATTTGTCTCTTTGTATTCTTCCATTCTATCTATTTACATTTACTTTTTCTATTTACTTTTATTTTTAAATATAATTATTTTAATAGTGCAAAATAGTCCCGTTTTATTGAATATATGAATAAATCATGAACATAATCAATAAACATTAAGTATTTTTGTGTGCTATGTAATTTTATGCCCCACTTTCTGCATTGTGATCGTTCATTGCCGCTTCGGTTAGGAAGTTGCCTTGGTAGTAAGGGAAGTAGACTCTAAAACCATCAAAACAGACTAACTAACCACCAGTGTTGGGAGTAACGCATTACAGTAACGGATTACTTTTTGCTGTAACGCAGTAGTGTAAGGCATTACTAATCAATTTTAAGTCATATTTTACTCGGTACATGTTCAGTAACTCTTGCGTTACAACACACTTTTAGCCCAAAATGTAATTGTTCAAAGAAAAAGAAAAGACAGCAAGACCGCGAGACATTAACGAATCAAAAATGCCGCAAATAAGTTATATTTCCTGTTCATCGTCAGTCAATAGCCGCGTGTTGTGTCCAAGTTTGTAAATAAAGACTAAACGACAGCTTCTGATATATTTGTTTAGCGATTTATTTAATTCATCTCCCTCTCGCTGGTGGAACTTGTATTGCGTGACGTAGCCCAGTGAAGGCAGGTTTAGGGCGGGTTTTACAGGAGTGCCGCGAGGCTACTGGCCAGACAGTGGAAACGCGGCATGATTTCGGCCTCTGTGCTCGAGGTCCGAGGCTATTAGCCCCGCCCGGCTCACTGTAAGCCCTGGCTCGCATTGGCCAGTGGAAAAGCGGCTAATGGGTGAAGATGGCAGAAGACTGTACATTCGCGAGATGGACGTATGCGCATCTTGTCATGGCATTAGAGTTTACATATAGTCCTGTTGTGTCTAATATGAATAGACCCAAGCTATTCACAGATATTGCCAGATAATCACTTTACCTCTACCATACTTTTAACAGACTTGTATTGTTTGTGATTCTGGCTGTCATCCTTTCTTGCATTGTCTTGAGCCTTGACTTGCCAATTATAAGCTATATTGTTAGTAGCCTGGATAGCGCACAGTCATTATGATACACAAAAGTAATACAGGAGTCATGTAACGCATTACAATTCTGAGACAGTAATATTGTAAGGTAAGGACTTACTTTTAAATAACAGTAACAAGTAATCTATAATGTATTACAGTTTGGAAGTAACTTGCACAACACTGCTAACCACCTGGTTTACTGTGCACTCTTTTTCAGCATGGACATCAAGCTTGCTTACTAGGTTTCGGAAGAGAGTTTGTGTGTGAAAGATATTAGGCACTACAGATATCTTGAAGTGTAAAGCAAAACTGGTCTGGGACTGTGGTGTCGGGTTCGCGCAGATGCTTATCATAGCGTGCTGCTGTTGGATGGTTTGATCGTGATTTGTTGCACAGCTGGCTATCGGAAAACCCCAAAAATCAACACCGAGTCAGCACGTCTGCTGTGGCCACATGTGTTTCTTTCAACATACTGTCTTGGGTACAGTCTGAATGCAAAGACTGGGCTAGCACGCCAAAGACCTGCTGCAGTTGGCCACATCTGGATGCCTTTGGATTAATGTGCGTCTGTATGTGTTAGATGTGATGTGTGTCGTGCTCATTGGGACAGACGTGAAGATGTTTGCCTGACTGGAGGACTTTGTGGACGCAGTCTGTGACCCAGGTTTCCTGTCTAGAAAGAGCAGGGTGTGAAGGGGTATGATATCACCTCTCAGCTCTTATACCAACATTCAAACACAGAGGGCATTAAAAGGATGTGTGCCAGTTAAACATTCCTGGGAAATGTTGAGGCAATTTATTATTATGGGGGGCTACAGACCACCAGTACCATACTGGGACGCTATAATGGGAGCTCCCATAGCATAACACCTTACATAATACAGATCTCGGGCTTAAAACTAGGAAACTATAGGAATAATTCTGTCGTTATTTATTCACCCTCATGTTATTCCAAACCCGTGTGACTTTTTGAATAACATTTAATGCTGGTCTCCCCCCCCCCTCACCATTAATATAATATAATATAATATAATATAATATAATATAATATAATATAAAAAATTATATAATATAATAATACATTTATAGGTATATACATTTTTTATATACAAGATAAAATTAAATAAATCACCATTACATTATTATTATTATTATTACAAATTTTGTATTATAAGTACATAATAAATTATTTTAAGTATTTAAATATAAAAAAAAAAAAACACTGACAAAAGCGTCAAATTTTTAATCATCGTCCACGATAATCTTCCTCTTCATTTAGCGATTGATTGCTGCAACTGAATCATTGAGTCAGTGAGTTGAATTTCGATGAACAAATCTGTTCACTCTTGTTTGAGAACTAAACTGAGAACTGGTTCACTGAAAAGAACCATCTAAAAGATCAACGTTTTTTTTTTACACAGCAGCACAAAGGCAATATAATGTTGTTGATTTATTCAATTATTTTATTCTAAACTCACTGAAGCTTTAAATTTTGTCTTTATGAAATGAATTAAAGTTTCATAATTTTTTCTACATTTTGAAAATGTTGCCTTAGCAACTACCTGAAATAAAACAAGCTTTTTCAATTAACATTTATTTTGTTTCAAGTTCCGAAAATGTTTTTCATTTTTGGGTGAACTATCCCATTAAGAAATGCATAACCAATTAGAGTAACTGTATTATTAGCATAGGTGTGTGCGTGTGTTAAGAAAATAATGTAAATGGATTCCCAACTTCTGACTTCTATTAATTCCACTTTAAAAGTCCCTGGACCGTCATTAGAGAACAAGCATTGTATTTAGAGTGGCAAAAGTGCTAGCTGCACAAGCAAGGGTCCTAATAAGGCAAAGAGGGTCCCACAGAGTGATGCCTGGCTTGAGTGAAGAAACTCAAGCTCCTCAGTTAAAGAGTAAGACTAAACAGGAGAGAGAGTTATAGCGCACTGGGGAAGGCAGCTGTGAGGCTGAATGCCAGCCAACACCTGGAGGGTTTTTAATGGGGGAGGAGGTGACACAGGGGGACGGTGAGTGAGAAATCTCACTTGATGAACTGTAAGAGTTGGTAATGGATAGATTTGTTGAGAAATCTGGAAAAGGAATAGCTATAAAAACAGTAAGAACACCTGTGCCTCACAGGTATCCAGGTGTACCCTGTCACCCCACTCTCAGAAAAGGTAGTTACCATAGGCTTGCGTCCTCTGTTGACATAAGTGCACACTGGGTTGTAGGCGCCTGTCCCGCACACGTACAAGTGTGTCCTGTTCCACGGCTCGATCAGACGAATGAAATTACCACACTCGCCCTGAGAGAGGAAACAATCACGGTAATTATTTTCACACATGTCTGTGACAGACTGAACAAAAGAGCCATTAGACCACCAGACATAAAAAAAAAACAGTGAAATTGTGGCTTTTAGTTCATGTCTGTTAGCTTTTAGCATTATATGCTACATGCTACTGCTAAACTGCTAATTAAGAAAATAAACTTTAGGCAGATATAAACATGTGAAAATTAGTCCTTCAGTTCTAGGAAAACAGACCAAAACTTTTGATGGCAGTATTTAGAGACTATTTGTCTGAATACAAGAACTGTAACAATGCCAGAAACATACTCTGCTAGTATGCAAACACAGATGCTAATGTTTGGCCAATGCAATCAGGTATACGGGTAGCTAGCTATAAACATGTCAGCATTTTAAATCATCTCAAACTTTATTCCTCCACTTCACTGTATTTGACCTCAAAGAAAAAATGGCTGTAGAAGACTTTGCAATATGATAGTTTATAATAATACTCATAATGACGGAGTTGCCCTATTCATTTTGCTTTGATGTACACAGCCTTTCAAAATTCAGGGACTTTTAAAACATTTTTTGTAAGAAGTCTCTTATGCTCACCAAGGCTGCATTTATTTGATTAAAAGTACAGTAAAAACAGTAATATTGTAAAATACTATTACTATTTAAAATAACTATTTTCTATTTGAATATATTTTAAAATGTAATTTGTTCCTGTGATTCAAAGCTGAATTTTCAGCATCATTACTCCAGTCTTCAGTGTCACATGATCCTTCAGAAATCATTCTAATATGATTTGAAACATTTCTAATATGAAGCATTTCTTTTTGTACTCAATGTTGAAAACAGTTGTGCTGCTCCATATTTACTGTATGTGCAAACCGTGAAACATTTTTTTCCCAAGATTTCTTTGATGAATAGAAAAAGTTTGCATTTCTTTGAAATAGAAATCGTTTGTAATATTATGAATGTATTTACTGTCACTTTTGACAAATTTAATGCATCCTTGCTGAATAAAACCATCAATGTCTTGGTTGGGAAAAAAAAAAGAAAATCTTACTGACCCCAAAATTTTGTATTTCAAAACTCAACAACATGCATTCATAGAGTATCAATATGCAGCTAATCATGGCTTCATCTAGCTGTGATGTCACTGAAAGACTATGGCCTGTTTAAAGAAGCATAACTTCCTCTTTTAATAGGAAATCACAGGAAAGAAGCATCCAATTATTTCCTAGGTTTTTAAACTCTGTACTGGCATGTATTTCAGCAACCTTACATTCAAGAGTTCAAAAGATTCAAATCAGAAATGTTCCCCTAAAGAGCTACATGTGGATTAATTTCACAGCAAGTGCATTCACCATTATTAATAATTCCTGAGCTGTGGTTAAAACCCATCACATCCCACAACCAAACTGACACCAAGTACCATACCAGTGCACAACAAAACACCCCCAATGTAATGCACCCCGCAGATGTGCAGATGATCAGGTGATGCACACGGTTTCTTTAACAGATCACTAAACTGCATGTCCAATTCCATATGTCCGCAAATCTAGGAATTTAACCGGTTCGAGTTCATTGCATGCTGGATCTAGCATCTGTTTTCCCTCTCTGAATATCTATGAGTGCATATGTTTTTGTGTGTGGTGGCTGACCTGGAAGGCTGAGGTTTGTAATGCATATATTTGACCTCAGCACTACTCCTAAACTTGAATATCTAACTTTCACTTCATTTATATCAGCAAATATTTTTTGTTGAGCTTGAGGGCTATAGACCCTGACCAAACGATTTTGTATATGCTGTGTATTTGTAATGACATTTACAGCTTAAAATCCAAACCACAAACAGATGTCACATAGCCATAGTGTTTCATAAGTGAGAGCTGGCTGGAGTTATCGAGATGAGTTAAGATGTCTAAACAAAGATATCTTGCGAGCAAATGTGGACCAACTGTAAACTGAAAAACTGGTTGTGTATGTGGTTGTGACACTGTCTGGAATAATTCTTGGAGGAATTAGAACACTAATTTGAAGGGCTGAGCGGTTTTCCAAGAGTGCTATTCTGTGTTTTCTGCGGCCTTCCAAATTAGAGTATATGTGCGCGGAGTGGAAGCAAAGAAATTGAAAGACGGCACTCACGTTTGTGTCTTTGCCACTTAAAACACACTCCGTTTTCCTCTGTGGGGAAACAGGCCAGTGTATCTGAAAGAGAGTATAAGAGAGAATGGTCAATCCCATTTGTCACAACAATGATACACTATCTCAGAAACGATCCACTTTAACTCAACCTTTCACCGTAACGAGCTGAAACAGCCAGGGAATGTTCACCCTGAATTTTTATAAGGCCCCAAAGTTCCCCACATATCCAGCCTTTAGTTTTATAGAATTTAATAGTCAGTTTCCTGAATTGCTGTGAGCTAATCAGTAAAAGTAACAGTGATAGAGAAATGACCCTTGGAGCCTGCTGTGATTTAGTTTGTGTTTGTCCAGGAACTGAATCCAAAATAGTGTGAATATCATTCTTTAAATAAATAAATTAATTAATAAAACTGTAAATAATAAATAAAACAATTTAAATAAATAAATAAAAATATAAAATAATAGGGCTGGGTTTTGACACAAATTTCACGATTCGATTCGATTCTCATTCACAAGCTTGCGATTCGATTCCCGATTCGATATCGATTATTTTGGATATACTGTGTGCTGAAACTGGTATTAATGTGGAGGAGATGATCAGTTCACGTCTGTTGAACTGAGGCGCTACAGCGATCTGTCACTCCACATTAAACAGTGCCAAAATGGCATTTATTGTTTGAATACTTTAATACAATGGACAGAATTTGAAATCTGAGACTTTGTTTCATATAAAAATTACCAAAGCACAATGCTTATTGCGATATATTGGATGGGAAATGCCCTTCAACGTTCCGTGCATTAACTGAAAACAGGCTAGACTAATCGATTCTTGGGATTTAAGAATCGATATCGTTCCGTAAAAATGATAATCGATTAATATCGAGATATCAATATTTTTTACCCAGCCCTATAAAATAATACATTAAAAACACCAAATAAAAATAAATAAAATACAGTAAAAATTAAAAACAAAAGAATAAATCAAATAAATAAAAGCAAAAGCTGTAAAATAAAATTATACAACTTAAAATACAATTAAAATACAAAACGGAATAAATAAATGATAAAATATATATTCATAAATGAAACAAAAATAAACAAATAAAAACATAAAATACTAAAAAATAATAAATAAATAAATCCGCCTATCTATGTTAGTGGGAGGCAGATGGAGTGGTTTGTGTTGGTTCTTACTATGAGAGGTTCTCGGTTGATGTCATGGAGGTCCAGAGACAGGATGTAGTCTTTGCTGCCCACATACATGCGGTCGTGATCCTCATCCATGCGCAGGATGCGATAGTCTGATGTGTTCAACAGGAAAGAGAAGTGATGGGATGTACCCGTAGACCTCAGATCTGCAGAAAGAGAGAGAGAGAGAAAATTCAGATCAATCCGCAAAAACAGAGAAGCCATTTATTGCTACGACATTGTTTGTTTTAGAAAGATTTACACAGAGAGAAAGAGCGTTTCCACTCCCAGTATCATTCCATTTCCATAATTGCTTAAATACATCTCATAAAAACATGGCAACTTGACAATAACATAATAGTTTTGGCCACAGTTCACAATAAAGAATACTCAATCCATTTCACCTTATGAGGTAATAGAGGGTTTGTTATTGCAGGCACAAAACATGGCAATCGAATCTGTAATCATGTCTTCAGATATTTCCAATCTTATCTTAGAGACACACAAGCATAGCGAGATCTGAGAGAGAGAGAGGAAAAAAGAACTTCACTGTGTTTCCAAAGCAAAAGGAAGTTATCAATAAATTAAACAAAATATATGTGCTGGGCTTTCTTTTTGGAGTTGAAAAATATGTAGAAAATTATATAAAAAGATACTATATTAACATTTTTGTATAAACATTATAATTTTAGGATATGAACATTTATGGACGGCGTAAAACATTATTCAACAGACGGCAGTTAACCTGGTGTTGCACACAGGTCACAGAGGACAAGGAACACACACACACACACACACACACACACACACACACATGTCTCTTCAGAACATCTGCCAATCAAAAAGTCAGGAATCACGCCGTAGAGATAACGATTAAAAATAAATTCTAATCTTAGTAATTTATCAAAACAAATCCAACGATGAATTACCGGTTTATCTGCCTGACATAGGCCCTAAATTCACTAGCACAATACACTGTGATTAATCATATTACCATTGCTCTGTTTGTATAGTTTGATTTAATATATCCATGAGTGAGGGTTGTGTTTTGAGGTCAGGGCTCTGATTGACAGCAGTCACAACAGTGTGTGTGAGTCTCCGTCTGTGAGATTATTTGTGTTTCAGCTCAAGGCACAACAATGAATCCATCATGTAGAATATGTGTGGATAGACATGAACGGACCGAGGAAAATAAATAATAAGAAAAAGAAAGGAAGAGCAGAAGAGTCTAAGAGAATGTAACAAAGAAAGAAATAGAAAGCAAGAGCAAATGAAAAAGATACAAGAGCAAAAGTGAAATAAAGTAAAAAAAAAAAAGGAGGAACAAGAAAAAAAAAAAAGAGTGAAAGAAAAAGCCTGAGCCAAAGAACTAGCAAAAACAGAATGAAAAACAAAGAAATCAAGATCAAAAGACCAAGCAAAAGAAACCAAGAGAAAGAGTGAAAGCAACAAAAAAAAAAGTAGACTCCACATAGTAGTCCCAGCTCCTCTCAGCACGCCTGTCAGCATCTCCTAAACATCTGTTTGTTTTAGCAGCCCTGTTGACTGACCATCTGCTGGGTCAGACCTCACTCACATCAGTGTGTGTTTCCACTCAAGACCCAGGTGAAGCTTTCACACACAAGACCATGAGCTCAATCTCACAGCACATTTGGTATATGCCCATTCCAAAGCTGGCACCATGATGCTGGGATGGGAGTGGTTGCTAGAGTGTTGGTTGGTGGTTGCCTAGCAAAGTCATAGCACAATTCTCCTCAAATATCCACACAATTTGAGTTATCATTCATGTTTGTTGCATAAATAGAGCATCATTAAATATTAATAACTTAGGGGAAAGATAGGGGCCTGTTCAATTCTTTACCCAAACAAGCAGCTCTAATAAATCAGGGAGCAAGACAGTACAGCTATTCTGTCCACCACATAACCTAAATATAACACTTCGACAGGATATTCACTACATGCATTCAATGATTTTTGCCGAGCCGTGCAGCAAACCCAGTTCCTGAAGCTCTCAAAGAAAACACTAGTGTTTAAAGTCTGGAATGTTCTACTGGGAGGGGAAATGTAAGTTTACTATTGTAGGAATTCAAGTATGCACTGTGTCTCTGAATGCACAAAGCTCGCTTCAGCTCTAAGGCTTGGCATATGGTCGGACCTGATGAAACCAGAGTAAATATGGAGCAGAGACTGTGCATGCCAAAAATTAAATGTTACCCTTATCTCCCTCTTCTCTCGTTCTCTCTCTTGACTTTCAATGCCCCAAACTGTCTCTCATTCCGTCTCTTTCTCTCTAGCAAGACAGAGGGCCACCTGTGGAAACAAGACCAACTGTTTAAAGATCCCCTGTACTTCAATACCAACAGCTCCACGTCTATCTTGGATCCATCCGGACACATGAGCCAACAACTACCTTTAGACAATATCAGACTAGAGTCTACTTGGAAGCAATAAAAGACAGTGCCAAGATGCAACGCTAACAATATGATCCTCTGACAAGTGGAAAATTTACATAGCCCACCCACACGCATATTGGCTAAGAAACTACATCTGTAATGAGATTAAATAGTTTTTATATCTATATTTTTTCATATCTAAATTCAACAATTCCCTCAACTCTAACTGCATCTTGGATGATTTTTTTTTCTCCACAGAGCATAGGCAACACACTACAGCTGCATCCAAAATCACATACTTCCCTACTATATAGTAGTACAGCCACGGTTTTGGATGCAGCCTAGGTTTTGGAACTGAGCTACTACCTTCTATGGTGTCTGATTTGGATTAAGATGAAAACAGTTCGGATAGACTAATAAAACAGTAGAGGTGCTGAAATATTGCAAGAATAACCATATAACTGGTCTTAATTATATCTACAAAGCCATCGTCTACTAAAACCACAGCATTATTTGATAGATCCATTTTCAACTTTTAGGTGAAAGACCTGTGAAAATCCAGTCAAGTGGAGCCAGATAACCCTTGAGGAACGCCATTACCTTGTGCAGTCTTAGTAGCTGACTACTGGGGGGTCTGTTTTACACACACACTAGAGACTTTGTCTTGAGAATGTCCCCTCTCTGCTTCGCCTCTGTAGCATGAAATGGCTTGTTGGAGGAAAACTAGAACTTGGTGTTGTTAACGAGTAAGTACCCTGACCCGTACTTGCACTTTTTAGCCTTTTTTCTACAATTCCCACTCTCACGGACACATGTCCACTCTACTCTTTGCATGAGCAGTGTAGCAGGAAGAGACCGAGGGATATCCGTTCCAAAATACAGCTGCTATGTTCAGCTCCTTCTCTTCTTCTACCTTTTCACATGGTCTTGTTCGCTCTGAGTTTCTCCAATCAACTGAAAACCTTCTCGCTTCCTTCACGCCGTATGCTCTGGTAAACCATAAGGTAGGTAACGTGACCTGGTGGGAGTTTTGGTGTGGGTATGTGAGATCAGCTCTAATCCATGCTTGCTATACGTGATGGTACCAAGATTTCCAGAAATGACCTCTTTCTTCCTGACTGGCTTTTCCAGTTGCTGGCCAGAAATTGCAGAGCATGCATGCTGGGCCAATTCTGCTCTAAAACCCACAAAGGTACATGCTCCCATAGCATTACAATCATAAGCTGCTGGATAAAGTCGCTTCCCATAAGATGTAGCATTAGTTGCATTGAACGCTAATATGGTTCAGTCTGTGGCCCCATGCAGTGGTCACTGTATTGAATAGAGGGCTGCCAAGATTGCCTGTACTATCTGGATTAGCTGCTTTCAGAAAGTGTGCTTGACATTCAAAAAGTGAAAAACTATATACAATATTATTCTAACAATGTCTAAACTTCATTCTCCATGAAGAAAACTGCTTTTCCAACACACTTTCCACTGCTGAGAGACATCCAAAGTTCACATACTCAAAGATTACAAGCTGTTTTTTCTGTATTAGAAAGACAAAACAGCTGGTGAATAACATTAACACATAAATGACTCATTTCTTTATCTAACGGTCAGCTGTTCACTATGTGCCGCCAAGTGTGCTTGATTTCGGCTGCGAGAGCAGATATTATGAAAGGTCTCATCCTTTTTGTTGACGCCACTGTAGGACATTTCTAGAAGGACTCATCTCTGAATACAAACTTTACACAAAATGTCTTCATGTATTATTTCGTAACACTTTTTTTGTAAGAGTATTTGTGCATTCTTTCATCCTACATAAATTGTGCAGTTTAAATGTTTAGATATACGCATATTTACACATACATAACATCATTAACTCCAGCATAATATCTGTATTTGGAGGCACAAATAGCAAAAGTAAAAATAAAACTATTATTATTATGAATACTACAACAACAAGAACTGCTACTATTACTAATATAATATAATATAATAATACATTGCAAATAGGTTAGAAATTTTTTTGAAAATAAATAAAGATTATGTTACGCAAACTTTAATCAATAATAATAATAATAAATAAATAAATTGCAAAAAGTTTAAATAAACTATTCTTAAGTAAAACAAGAGAAAGAAAAAAGTGGAGATGTCAATCAATATGTCTCAAGTAAACAAGATCAATTTTGATTTCATTTTGACTTTCCTGCACATCAAAAATGTTATTTGAGAGTGGAAACATTTGTTCTAATAAAAACAACAATCATTCAACACTATTTGTGAGTCCAGATTGCTAGCACTGCTATTGTCTTTATACAGCAAGAACTGACTGTCCATCTTGTGTCAGATTTCTCCAGTTTCAAATTTAGTTAAATTAAAGAACCACTGCCAAGCGCTGCGGAGCGAGTTCCTGCAGGAAATTCAGTCTGGCCCCAAGGAGAGGAGAGCAGCAAGAGAAGGAAGAGAGACATGAGGGTGGTTTGGGATTAGCGTGACACCATGTATGCAGGCGGTCCGCGGACAAAGCCAGAACCCAAATCATTGCTCTTCACAGCGTATGCCGTATGACTGTGTATTGGCTCACTCGCTCGCACGCACAAGCAGAAGTGACATTCTCTAGACACATGAAGTGATAATTACAGTTTAAGAGGAGCAGGTGACACACACAGAAAGCACTCACATATAAATAAGTTTTCACCTAGTTATATACACATAATCAAAAGAATCCTTAACTGAACTATAACAAACCTTGAAGTCTATATAAAAATAATTAAAGTGGTATTTGGGTG